GAACGGATTAACCGTAATTACATTGAACCTTATGGGAAAATTTGATTCGGGACACGACCAATTCGGGTTGCGACCAGAGTCGTGGAACAAATTAAGTTTGTGAACTGAGGTACCACTGTATATGATTGCCATATTCAAATTCATTAGTTAGTTAACATATAGTTTATCACACATGATTTAGCAATCTACACTTAAGATTTATGCACATTTGAGTAACTTGGGTGTTTCTCTTATCAAGCATGCTGCTTATATACTCTTCTCCATCCAACTGATTCTAACTGGTGTTGGGGTTTAGGGAGTAGGTCTACATACTTGAGGTTAATTAGAGTTTATCTCTCTATACAGGCTGGGGTTGGTAGCTTGCTCTATTCAAGAATGTACTTTGTTGCCCTAAATTTTTCCCATATGAGGTATCTTGATTTTCTACACAGAATGTCAATCCATTCAAACAATCAGCTTGTGCCTTCAAAGCAATGGAATTTGTGTATATATGAACTGTCCTGAAAATTTTGCCAGTATTGGAAGATGCAGAAAGCAGGTCCCTTGCTGCAGAAGGTGAGGATACAACAGAGTCAAAAATAGTATCTTCAGGGAACACAAGTATATCCATATCACAACAGGAAGAAGTGTTGGAGGCAAGTGGTATCTTGAAATTTTCCGTCATTTGGGGGTAGAGAAATTAGACAGATGGGAACATTTAGTTGAATTTATCCAGAGGAAACATTCTCCAACAGTTTCTTGGGAATGAGTGGGAAAGGAAATAAGATGGTTTTTGTTTGGTTTTGTTCAGTTCTGTTTTGTTTTGTTTATAGCTGTTGAAGAAAAAAACAGGCCTGGAAGTTTAATCATTACTTTGCAATAATGCCCGAAGCTTAGAATAATTCCAGAGTGTATGTTTGTGTGCATGGATGAGAGGAGGGAGGATGTTGTCTGATGTGTGCATGCACATACACACACATACAAAAGGAGGAATATTCACAGAAAATTTGTGCAGTCACACCTCCAGAGACACCAGGCTAAAAAAGGGTGCACTAAGATATAAGAAAATTCCATATGCTGAAGCAGTTTGTTTCTGAATGCTGACCACTGTGTGATACAAGGAGCAGAGGATAGCTTTTCAAGTCGTCCCTTTGGGCTTCTTATAGGAACCTGCACATCACAATATCTATTTGACTAGTTGGAGCAGTTTATTAGAATTAGAATTTGGTCAACAGATCTTTCAATCAAGATTAAAAAGAGAAAAATTTAAAAACATTGAGCAAACCCACAAGGGAAATCTTTTAGTTCACAAATAAGGAACATTCACAATCTGACATAAGACAATTCATAGAATTTTATACTGTATACAGCACAATACTACTTTAATGGGGCAAGTCAATCAAAATTTCACCAGATTGAAGCATTGCTTCAAAGCTTTTCACAGCCCTGTTGATAATCCAAGATGATGTTCCTATGTATAGTCAGATCTGTGTACACAATTAATCATTTTGTTTGTTTGTTATGTTGTCTGTTAGATTTGTATCACAGCTTTCCAGCAGGAGTTCAAGGTACTTTACGTGGGGATCTCCCTTCATTTTTAATCCCAAAAGAGAAACTCTGGGAAGTTTCTGGGAGGTTGGGCTGAATGAGAGTGACTGACCCAAAGTCACCCAGTGAGTTTCCTAGCTAAGGGTGACTTGAACCCAAGTCCATACAGTGCTAGTCCAACAACTTAATATATACCATATTGGCTCTCAAAAAGTTATTTCCAAAAAGAAATAATGATTTAATTCTTATGCTTTCTTAGAATCCAAAGTACTGTTGTTCAGATTTTATTTTTCCTGTGCAATAATGTTTATGAGTTTTTCCACTATAATCTTCAATAATTTTCACTGATTCATGTGTGAAATTATTTAACATGAGGTTGTGATAGTGAGCTCAGACATCAGGTATGGCAAAAGATGCCTAAGTTTTTAAATCCTAGGGTTTCTTTTAATCAAAGGAAGCCAAGATCAGTTCTCTATTTAGGGCTGTCACATACATTGTCATACGGAACTGTTGCTCATTTGAAAGATAATTCTGAGTAGCATACAATAATTGCATCTTTGTTCTCTAGTACAAGGGAACTGCTTATATTCCAGAACTTACTGTTCAAGCTTTATGGGATGAACACATCGTTGTTTCCAGATTATTACCTTCCATACTGTTTCAGGTCCTTCAAAAACCATGGCCCCCTCATAAATTATATTTAGCTGCTTGGTACTTCAGAATGCATAAATGAAAATATAAAATTGCTCTGCTGCATCAGATTAAAGGCAGTGGTGACCTAACAACCCTTTTCCAAAAGGGCCAAACAGATTTTCAGAAGCAAGACAGTGGCAATGCTTCTCTCTCATTTCCTAGCCATGGATATTCAGAAGCTCATAATAGTGCATTTGGCTCTTATGATAAGCAATTCTAATAAGCTGTTAGAATGTGAAGAAGTTGTTTCTGGATTTGCCTTCAATGTATACCTGAAAAAAGTGTCACCAAGGTAGACAGTACATTTGGAAGATGTTTGGACACCACAGTGTGTCCACTCCAATTCCTCACCATTTTTTTTCAGGGCAACCTGTAATCATCTTCACCTCTCTGCTACACTTAAAATACAGAGGACAAAATTAACCCCTACAGTGTCCCATATTAAGATATTGCAGATAGGTACAAGATTTCAACAAATCAACAAAACCTGTATCATGTCAGAAGCTTACCTACTCCCCAACATATTTGCATGCAACATTGTGATTTTAGTACAAAAGGATTGGGGTTTGTATTGCAGCTGAATAATGTATGCTTCATCATGCCCCCCCCCGCCCCCATGGATGCCTTTGACTGGTGGTTCTGGAGCAACAAATATCACCCCATCAGTCTATCCATGCAAAAAGTAAATAAATTAATTTGCATACAACCCCCTCCCATGTTTTTTTATATTGCAGGTGCTGTGTGTGTGTGTGTATGTGTTTCTCAAATTATATTTAAAAAATCTGAACAGGTATCATGGGGAGCAGACTACAAAGACATCATGCCATGATTCCACTTTTGCATTAAACATCCTTATTAACTATAATGATGAAAGGATCGCATACTGGCATTTTTGTAATCCAATGCTTACCTCAGTAACAGAAACCATTGTTAAATGTGGTTGTCATGGAGGAGAGGAGGAGTTTCGTATTCAATAAGTCACACACTCACAGCCTGTTGAGGCACATGGATCTTGTAAGTCCCCCCCCCCCTTGCTTTCTACCTGGGTTTTCCAAATAGGTTTGGCTAGAGCAGACAAGACACACAGCCCTGGTCAACAGCTGAGAAATAATTAGGGACATACACAAATCATGTTCACCTGAACACTGAGGTACAACAGGTTCTTTGGAATACATGGAAACTCAGTGAATTTAAAGCAACAGCAAAACTTTACTTGTTACAATGTATATTTGTTCTTCTCTCTCTCTCTCTCTCACACACACACACACACACATCCATTTTACCCACATCCTTCTCAACTAGACTGCCAGGCACTAGCTAGAGGGACAGAAGACACCAAGTCTGGTTCCAAAGGTGATTCAAGGCATGGGTGGTCTTCAGGACTCCTTATTATCCCCAAAAGTTCTTGCTTTGTTGATTCACAGGACTGGCAGCTACTCTTGCCTTGTTCATTTACAAGTCTGGTAGCTGTTGATGGGATTGAGCCCAGGGGCCGGGGGTTGATATGCTCAGGCCCATCTTCCTTTATCTGGTTCAAGTGACATTTTTTTCCCTTTGTTTCCTTATCAACTTGTTTCCTTCTTATCTACCTCCCCGAAAGGATCTTTTAGACAAGATTCCTGGCTTCTTGTCCTCTCTGCTTATGTGCCTGCTTCATCTTCAGTTATGGCATCTTCAGCGTAGTCACACAGTTGTTGGGGTTGAAAGGGCATGGAGGAGAGGGGGAGCTTCATATTCAATAACAGCTACAGACACATAACCAGGAATGAGATACTGTAGGGTGCCAGAAATGGAAACACCACTGGAACAACACAAATCCTCTCACTGTCTTTCTCCTTCCAAAATGGAAAGGTAAGGAATTGTTGAAGTCATGTTCCCTATCCACAAGGGAGTCAAAAGAAGGAAGGAAGGAAGGAAGGAAGGAAGGAAGGAAGGAAGGAAGGAGAGAGAGAGAG